GGTTAACAAGTCGGTCAATAAACGATCTCATGACTATTTTTAGGAAGTGTCATCTTTATCGAAAGTAAATACATATGTGTTGGAACTGAGTGTTTAAACAGATGAATAGGCAAACTGTTATGTTTAATTTGTAGATTAGTTGGTAATTGTGATTTTATTAGACTTCATTTTACGTTAGCACGGTTTATGTAATTTTGTTAAAACATAATGTAAGGAGTTCAAACATACAACAAATTATAAAAACATATTAAGGAAATACAATCATTTCAATTATTCAAAAAGAAATTAAAATTCTACATCGTGAGGATTTTCTCGCAGTTTTGATGTTTTTATTTCTATGAGTTGGTATTGCTATTAAAGTTTCACCATGGCAATTGATATACAATGCTTGATTAGGGCGTCGCTTTTGTTTTTTTTAGAACACGAAATTTTATCTATATACCTTCATAAATTGGAATGTTTCTTTGTTAAATTAAAAATAAGGTATTTAATTAATAACTTTTGTAACTATAGTGAAAAAATAGGGTGGTTTACTTTAATATTAGACGTAACTGGTTGATGACTGTACCACCTCAGTCAACCGTGATCATGGGAACTATAAAGGGCCCGAAACGTTGGTTTGTTTTTTAAAACAAATATACGCGATTTAAATCCGGAAAAGTAGTTTCATTTCCTATCATTTCCCGTCATAGCTCATAATTTATTAGTACATAACATCGTGTGATGTTCTATGTATATGTGGGTGTCTTTGATGAATAAAGTTCAATTTAATTTAATTAAATACGAATATACAAATACCAAGTTCACAATTTGTAAAAAATTCAAAATTAATGTCAAAGGTAACGCTTTTGCGTCTGTTTCCAGACAAAATTGACGCACGACCTACCAGACAAAAAGTTTGATAACCTCTGATTTAGAATATAGTTCACCTATATAACCCAAGACGTTTTGGGAACTTCATACAATTTTCAAGGATTGTAAACCTTCTTAGATTTTATAATTAATCACGATGGTTTCTTTCATATTTACAAATGTATGTAACTTCCACATTAATATTTAAACGATTAGATACGTGGTCAATCGAGAAGCAACTGCTCTACCTAACGGAAATGTGCGTGCGCAAGTTTACATGTGATAGTAAATTTGTTTTAACATAATTATAATTTAAATCAGGAATGCATCCATTACACATTACAAATTCTAATTTAAAATAATCAAAAATATAAAATACGAAATTCATTCCATTCCAAAATTTGAAATAACAAGTTTTGAAACAGCTATTTGGAGAGTTATTGGTAAAATGTACGTGTTTATTACAAATATAAATTAAATAAAAATAAATTGCAATTGGAAAAGCACTTTGCTTAAACTACTAAAATTAATATAAAAGTATCATGTAACATGCAATAAACAGTTAAATAGATAAAAATACAATAGTTCCGATACGTTCACAGTCCTGACTAGCTAAAATCCCGACTCGTCCCAGTCATCAATTGTCACAGTATCGACAAGTTAGTCCTGTCTTGCCACGATCCTGACTCGTACAGTTCCGACTCACCCCAATCGCGATTTCATTTTTCATTAAATTTTTCAGCCATTACTCTCCCACTGCAAAGGCCTTTCTTCCCTTTTTCCACTCTTCGCGATTTAACGCCGCGATTAGTCCATGAAAATATTATTATTATTTCTCTCAAAATATATTGGAGATGGTGCACATCGTAACAGTAATAACTACACCGACATAATATGGTAGTCGCAAGAAGCGTACTATTGTAAGTATAAGTCATTATTTCAAATATGAAGTTGAAATCGCTTCTAATTGACGTTTCCGAATATATCCCAATCCATTAATATGTGCGCGCTGAACGTGTTCGTCCAATTTTAATTATCAGAATGAGTCCCGATTCATCCCACAGAAAAGGTCCCGATTCATCCTACTCGCAAAATATTTGCAAATGAAACGCGTTACGATTACTTTGTACTTTGGTGAATTTGGTTTGGTGAGTTTGGTTGGTGGTTTGGTTGACTGTGGTGAATTGAAACTTCATATTTAGATTTAACTCCCTAAAATTAAGTTCAAGTAGGCAATAAAAATGTAGACAAAAACTTACAAAATAAGTCCATATTCATATTTTCATTTTATGATAAATGTTTCATTCTTGTCGGTGCAATATAAGGCGAATTGAGAAATTCCTCCCTTTTTGAAGACGGTAAGAATTATAACACTTTTGAAATCACTTTAACTTTCGTAACCCGACTACGGCGATCCAAAAAATAGAATAAAGTTTTCTTTATTCAGCTTTTTTTCTTTTTTGTTCTACGACGCACGAGTTCTGTATTCTAGTACACTATACGTTCTGTAGCAATCACAGTTGTTATAGGTGACCCTGACCAATTACGGTTAACCTATAGAAGCTTAGGATCGTCAGGAGCGCAATGTGTCCACTTTGTGCGCGATTTTCATTTCCTACTTTGCATTTGAAGACTTGGGACAAAAATAGATGTGTTTTCAACCTGCTATGTAAACAAAACATTTATTTTGACCTTTGTTTTCGAATTCGTACTCTGTAACTTGAATTGGCATGCTTACTATCACGCTGCCCCAATGTGGGTAAGGGGCTCGTACGTTTTCCGAGGGTTGTGACTTCTTCGACGTGCGGGTTTTATTATGATATTTTCCTTCACCGAAAAGCCATTCCGAAAAACATAGAAGTGCGAGCCCGAATTCGAATCCACGGCTTCTGCTCGAGAGATGGTAGGTCAAACCATTATGCAAGCACAACTACAAAACAATGTGATTGAAATAAACAAGATGTTGTTTATGTTGGCCATATAACTTGTTTTTAGCAACATGTTTTTTTTTTTATATAATACCAAGTGACGGGACGAACAAGTCGTGCGCCTGGTGGTAAGCGACACGCCTGTCCATAACAATCGCTCAGAGCTTTAAAACGCAAAGATGTAAGGGGCACTGTTTCCGCCCCTTCAAAACTGGAATGCAGAACAGGTAAGGGAAGTACTGCCACATCCCTTAACGAACACTTTCACAGGAACACGAACAGCGTCTCCGAAAATGAACTTTAAAGTCGTAAATGAGTTACCCTTTAAGCTATGTCCGGACATTGTATCCGGCACTAGCTCTCCAGTAGATGATGAGCTAGACATTCTACAACTAGAGAGACGCTTCGGCGTCGGGAAGTGAACGGGCCTTACAGCTCCGCCACCAAATAGAAGATTTGGTAGTAGACTTTAGAGTCGATGGCTTAGCGATGACAACCGTTAGTTGCGCAGTGCGCGACGAAGTGAGCGTGCCTAGAACTCCGTTATCTATCTGGAAAATAGGGAGGGTGCTGTACGTGCACCCGGAGCAGCTCACCCAAAGCACTTAGCCTTTTGAGAACCGAACGAAGTGCAAACGGGCTGATCTGGAGTCAGGACTTGAATAAGTCTGCAGGCAGGGAATTCCACTCCGTAACCGTTCACCATATAAATGTGGAAGCGTAACGCTTCGTGCGAATCTTTGAAATATCCACAACATAGGTATGGTACACAAGCCCACGTCTAGTTCCCCGGCTAAGCAATGGGAAGACGGAATTAAATCGTGTAATGAGACTGTAACAACATAATATTGTATTGTCATGTAGGGCAAGAGCTTTCATTTTAATTTATGTCACGAATCAATTAAAGTTGATTTTATCATGGGTGGTATCGCTTCTTCGATTGCACATTTTATTTTAAGTGTTACAGTTACATCGACACAATCAATGATTTCATCGTCAAGGAAGTCACGTATTATTTATTACACAAAATATGACCGGTGAATTTCTAGAGCTGACTTATACCCCCAATTATTTCTCAGTCTTCATTGTATACGTGTTGTGTCCACAGGCCGAGGCCAAGAAAGGCGCCAGATTTTTATGTAAATTCCGACTCTTGAAGGCGACAATAAGGCCTAGTAATGCGTTCAACATACGTTTTACCTAATGCGCGCTTACAGCTACACGAATTTTATTATATACACAGAGCGGGAACGCTAATTTTCTCAAGGCAGTGCAGGTTTCGTCTGTAACCACCTGAATAGCATGTTTTCCTTGCTCCACCGGTGGCGCATTCCGTTTTATTAATGAGATCACTGCTTAGTTCTGGAGCAAAGATAGGGTCTACAATGGAACGAGCTCACCCAGAAGATGTCTATTCAGTCGAACCTTAAAAAACTCGGATTGTATGTGGTCGGAAGCAGTCACACACAGCGCATAATAAAAGATAACGTAAAGCGCTTAGTACGCCTGAAAGAAATATCGACCAAGTAAGGATGATACCCCTTCGTACGTCTGAACCTGTTAATTCAATACGAAACATAATTTTCCCCGCCTACTGAGAATCTTCGTCTAGACACGAATTCGTGTAGCCGATCTGGAAGTGTTTAAACCGGTTTCGTATTAAAGCTAGCCGGGGTAAGGACGATTGGCTCAGGTGGGGATTTTCAGATCGATCTAACGAGAATTATTTGTGCGGTGCGATTCATACGATGGCCCATGTCTGCCCTGCGTGCTCTATGGGCGCGTTCCCACTATGTCGTGGACGATTTTTTATCGTTGAACGACTGTCGTGACTAGCTGTTCCCACTAGATCGTGACGACAATAGGAGCTGCGACAATCTGTCGTCACGTTTTCATCGTGACGTTTTTTTATCGTCTGACGACTGTCGTTCTAGCTGTTGCCACTGTGACGACAGTTTGTCGTTGTAACCATAAAAAATCGTGAACGACAGTTAATTGTGTCGTGCTATATGTGACAAACTTCATTTAAATATACAAGCCACGACACTGTAAACCGCACGACAATCTGTCGTCACGACATAGTGGGAATGGGCCCTAACACTTACACGCTTAAGGATTTAATGGCGGCTACTAGAGACGCGATCGACGTGGCTCAATTTTGGGCCACAATAGAGTAGTATACGCCGTAGATAACAAGAACAATAGAAAAATGGGACTCACCTGTCCATATCTCGATGACGCTAAATGCACATTCCTGTTCTTAAGGGAGAAGTCTGGTCTCTTTCCCAAACCATATCCACCTTTGTTCTGCCCCAGATACTTCTTTGGCCTGTCCAGTCTTTCCGTGCTCCCTGTCTCGTTCTCATCCTCCCTCTTTGAAGTCGACGGGATCCCTCGATACGCCCCCCGCGTTCCCCTGATAACAAAATGGACTTTGCTCATTCCATGTACAACCGTATAGTTAGGGAGTCATCACACTATTTACCAGCTTGAGTCAGTAAAAAAATATATGTACAGCTTATTGCATACATATTACTTGGGCATAAATCTTTTTTTGAGTGGCTTAGTCCTTAAGATATGACTCTTAATTATAACACAGTTTTTGATTAAGTTTTTAATTTTGCAGAGGCATTCTAAACATGAAACAATGGAACACAAGTTTCTCTAAATAAAAGTAAATAAGTTTTGTTTTGTTTGAAAATAACGCTCACAATCAACATAGCCCCGCACTAGGGAAACCCTGTGTCGCGGGTGCCATGGACACACACATAGATAACCACAAATTACACCCAAACTCACGAGAGAAATAAATGTAGGCCATACAAATATTTCTCCCGGCCCGGGAATCGAACCTAGGACCTCTGCGTGGCATGGTAACCGTTTGGCCACTGAGGCAGTCTGTTTGAAAATGTGATATGATTATGGTGTAAGAAATTACAAAAAACATCGCTCGAGCGAACGTTTAAAAAACTGTACCTTTGAACTCATCAGTCGTATAAAAAGTGCAAGAGGTCGATTTTTAAGATCTTGCGTTATTCTATTTTGTGGTATATTCAAAATTACCATTCCATACTGATCATATATTTTTTTCATCAACTCACCAACTTCAAATAAAAAAAATATGTATATCGTGTCCAACTTCAATTGTAAAGAATCAGTAAAAGTATTAAAATGGAACTCAAACTGTTTCTATGTTTAAAAATTAAAAAAATCGGAATCGTTAACTACTAGATGAAATGTCGATACGCGGAAGTCACTCTTTTTCTTTCTTTTTTTTTGCACACACAACATTTACAATAATTTAATTTTATCCCATAGACTTAACAAGGTGACCTTTGACCTCAAATAGCTCAATTATCTTAGGTCACAGGTCGAAATTCAAAACTTGGTCTTTGTCACGACATACAAAATTGTAATTTTATCTTTTGTTTTTATAATGAATGGCGTAACGTTTATGTATGATATGTACGCAATAAATAATAATAATAAGCCGTGGTAGCTTAATGGTTTGACCTACCGCCTCTCAAGTAGAGGGTAGTGGGTTCGAATCCACGTTTGCACCTAAAAGTTTTCGGAATTTATGTGCGAAATTTTATTTGAAATTTGCCATGAGCTATTCAGTGAGGGAAAATTTCGTGAGGAAACTTGAACACATCTGCAAAACAATTTAGCGATGTGTGTGAAGTTCCCAAATCTGCAAAGCAATTTAGTGCTGTGTGTGAACTTCCCAAACCAATGCGAGGCCTGTGGGACTAATATTGTATATACTAATTAAATAATAATGTTCCAAACAACCACACCAACTATGAGGTCTCAATCTAGGGAATTCCCTGCACTTTGAATATCAAAAGAACGCAATTCTCTCTGTATCACTACGTAAGACCCACATCAGATTCAATTTAGAAAAGTTCGTCAAATTGGTCCAATACATATATTATGTATACCTAACCTGACCATACGTCCCGCTTTGAGCGTGACAGTCCCACTTTTAACTTCGTGTCTCGCTACTCCCTAAAATACTTAAAAATGTCCTGCTGTGACAAAACAGGCACAACCGTAACAGCATGTAAATCATGTCGCCCGCGCCATTAAGCCGGGTTCACGAGTCTTTGACTTGCGTTGTTCGCTTGCTTGCGTGACTCTCTTCGCGCATACACGAAGATCTGTCGCGTACGCGCAGGCAGGACTGTTCACGAGTCGCTCGCTTGCGCCGGTTACTGATTTTGCATTGGATTTCTTTGCATTACGTGAGTTTGATATCTAGCAAGCTTGATATATCCACGCAAGCAACAGTCGAGGTCTCGGATACCGACTTCGCGCATTAACAGATTGCGGCACACGTCGCCGACAAGTGCAATACGTGTAGATTAGTTTAGTTTATTTTATATTGTATGTATGTTAGTCGTTAAGGTATATATTATATAGGTCATGTGGCCTGAAATAAATGTCTAAATATTTTTTTTTTAAATCGTTATGAACTTCATGCAGTCGTGTTATTACACCCTTAGGGCGCATTCCCATTATAATAATAATGACAACAGATAGTTGTACAGTTTAAAGTGTCGTGGCTTGTATTTAAATGAAGTTGTTCACATATAGGATAACACGATTAATGGTCGTTCATGACTTTTTTGACGTTACGACGACATTCTGTCGTGACGATGGGATGTACTAGAACGACAGTCATCGGATGGTAAATAAAACGTCACGATAAAAATGTGACGACAGATAATCGCAGCTTCAAACGTTTCTGTCTTGCAAACGACAAGGCGGCTGCCGTAAACTGATAAATTGTCGTCACGATCTAGTGGGAACAGCTAGAGACGACAGTCGTTCAAGGATAAAATAAACGTCAACCACACAGTCATGACAGATAGTCGTGATATGGGAACCGGCTAGACGCGACAGTCGTCCAACAATAAATAAAACGTGACAGCATAATGGGAACGCGCCCTTAGTTGTGCGTCCGTACTGCGGGTGAATTGCTTTTGGCGGTAATTAATCTGCTGCTTTTTTAAATTTTTGATCATGCAACATTTTTAGTTCTTTTTTAATATTTTTTAAAAGAACTAAACATTTCGTAAACATCATAAATGTTCTTACTTTTAATAATAAATTTACAAGCGTCCCGCTCTGTGGAAAATGAATAATGGTTACGTCACACCCCGGACACTCCATACAATGGTCGAAAGTTATTTACCTTCCACTACTACTACATACAGCAAGACGCCATCTGCACACGCGCAAAAGTTGCAAGGTTAACCATCACTTGGTTAGAGGGGCAACATAGCGAAAATTGTAACGCGAATCTGTTATCTTTAATTTTATTAATAGAATCCTAATAATAACACATGTACATTATATTTTTCATTAATTCACTAATTAAATAATATTGAAGATTTATTTAAAATATATATTAAAAGCACTTAAAATGTTATATTTTGGACAGGTACTTTTAAATAAGGTAACCAAGGTATTTGAAATTGCGTGTCCCAAGTCTATTATTACCTAGTTAATAATTAGGTATATCCATTACGTAATATTTATCGGCAATACAAGTTGAAAATTCAAGGACCCTTGTCTGCTTGGTAACGAATTTACACCGTCTCATTATATTGACATAATAAATTTGTATTATATATTACAATGCTGGTTGCTAGCGGGAAATGAATGCGACAAGCTGAGGACCGGGCGAAATGGCGCACATCGGGGGAGGCCTATAATAATAATAATAACGCACACACTCAACATAGCCCCGCACTAGGGAAGCCCTGTGTCGCGGGTGCCATGGACACACACATAGACAACCACAAATTACACCCAAACTCACGAGAGAAATAAATGTAGGCCATACAAATATTTCTCCCGGCCCGGGAATCGAACCCGGGGACCTCTGCGTGGCAGTCCGGTATGGTAACCGTTCGGCCACGGAGGCAGTTAAATCTCCAGCAGTGAACTGCGATAGGCTGATGATTACACTACACTAAATAAATGAAGAAAACAATAACTGAATGAGTCTCAGACATAAGTTTTTTTCAACTTCGTTTCATCTTTTGGAAAACGAAAGAATTTCCTCTCTTTATCCCGTTTAAATGTCGATAAACAGCCGTACACAGCACAAATCACGACCATTATAAATAGTAACGTACAAGATATTATTTAATAACGTACAAGTTTCGTAATGAATAAATGAAAACTATATTCAAATATCAAAGCGGTCTTAGCGCAAAAACGGTTCACCGACAGCCTTCTTGTCGTTCTGTCAATGTGACCGTCAATGTGTGGGGTGTGGTGCGGTATCCAAAGTTAGGGAGGGGCAGAGAGTGTTCATTCTAGTTACTTTTTTGTACTCTGTTCACGTTATGTATACCTCCTGCAGCACCCATAGTGCAAATCATTGCGCCACCAACGTCGCTTTCTTTTCTATTAAAAAAAATATATTATTAATTACCTTATGGTCTTCTCCGGGCTTTTATCCAGTTTCCTCGTTATCAAATTATCCTTCCTCTGTTTACTCCTCGCGGACACGTTTGACGCCATATTGTCCATACTACACGAGGAGCTTCAATACCCCATATTCAAATAAAAAAATCATCCTAACTTATCTAACGATACGAAAAAAAAGCTAAAGCTGACTGGTCAATATATAGATATCCAAATCCACAATCTCGATGTTAAAAAATTCATTTCGATAAATTAATGTTCTTAAATCGTTATTTTATATGATTTCCTTTTGATAATCTACAAAATATAATGAATATGATATTTGTGTTGCTATTTACTAAAACATAAAAGTTTATTTGTTATTAAATAAATAACTAATTCCGTCTTTTTTTTCTCTCTCGCTGCATTGGCATCCTGCGCGTGGCGCTTGCGTTCTCGACTTTCGCTAAAAACTAGCGAAAAAAAATTATAATTCTAAAAGTAACAGTCTTGAGGAGTTTTTGGAAAGTTATTGCAGAGTTGGATTTTTCTGATGTTATCTGAAACAAAGACAAACAATAATTAAACGACAAATCGCAGTAAAAACAGTGTACAAAACGGCGGCAAAATGATCGATGGATCATTAAAAAAAAAAACTGGACATTCATCAACCCATACTAAAAAACCAATATACTGAAATTCATTACCAAAAATTATTGCTGTATACATAGTGCTTTTTTTGACAGACACAGATATACAAAGGTTTCAAACTTATAACTACCCTCTTTTTGCATTGGAAGTTAAAAACCAATACAATCCTTTCCAATCCGTTTCCATACTCATGCTCACTTTTAAAAATCCTTTCACTGCGCCGGCATTTTATTTTATTCTGGGCGAAATCTAAGTTTAGTGCCACAGATGCATCTTTCGTTATCAGTAATAAAATGACAGGTGACAGCACTATATATTTTTCAGAATTCTAAAATTAGATTTGACAACAACATACTACGTCTAAATTTAGCATGCAGAGTACAATTTGACATACCTAAACTAAAATCCTCCGTTTTTCCGACGAAAGAGACAAATGCCAACGCTTTTTATTAAGTCTCGATTTACATAAGCTATAAGAAACTTATGTTGTTATAATAACCAGGAGAAGAAAACTAGTCCAGCGTTCAGACGTAAAATATCGGAAGTTAAAAGACACCAGGAGTCAGCAAAGAGTAAACTAGTCAGCACTGCAATGACTGAGTTTACACCGACGTTGATTACTAAACTAAATTCAGTATTGGTTCATGTCCCGAAGACAGAATATCTTGAAGCGTAACTAGATTTAGAGAGAAAGCCGTCTGTTGTACAGACGGTACGAGGTTCCGTGTCGATAAATGTGGTGACTCTCTCAATCATATTTAATTTACGTTCGCCTGAATCGACGGCATCATATTGTTATTACTGTATACTATCCAAATGATTTCTATCATCTTATTCAGTTCAAATAATATTATAATGAGTAATTACCAACAGGTGTATGTTTATTTTGGTCTAAATGCAATCTATTAACGTTTTTAAATAGTCATGTGTATCGTGGTGATTTATTACATAGTGTATTTTATAAGTTTTAATGCAAGATGTGTAATTATTAAGTATTACGTTTATATTTATTTACATTTATATAAAGGAAATATAGGATTTCTTAAATTTGAGCAAATGAATTCAGAAATTAGTTAACATGTTTTCCCGTTTTCATTATAGTTGGTTCATTTACGCAACAAGTACTTACTTTTATACTTGTGTAGGGGTGAATTTCACTTTCCGAATTTCAATGGCACTTTTTGAGTGATATTTGTAAAACTCTTTTTTCTTTTGGTTTTAAGGTCTTAAACGTACAAATAAGTTCTAGCAATGGCAATGATTATAATATCACAGAAATACTAAGTTATATTATTAATACAACAAAAAAACGACATTTTAAGTCACACGAATGAGATTGCAGTAACACGAATGATTTTCTCATGAACATAAATAAGAAAGACGACACAGTAATGAGAAATTATTATTACAACACACATTTTATCGTTCATAAAAAAAACATTTAACATGTAACAAATATTTTAATATAATTTCTTGTATCAAAATTTCTCATCCGTGTAAGACCATCTATCTATCTATATGTAATAAATAAATAAATGTAAATAAGTATTTTGTTAATGTCATATAAACTTTGTACATCTATATATCATCATTACCACCATCAACATCATCATCATGATCACCATTATCATCAGCATCATTACCATTCACATCATCATCACTATCATCGTCATCATCGTCATCACAATCATCATCGTTACCACCGTCATCACCACCACTATCACCATCTAATTGTTATATTTCAAGTAAAGGTTTGGCTTAAAGTAACTATTTCACTTTAAAGTAGACAAGAATGAGAGCGACAATAATGATATTCGGATACATTTTTAATTGTCAAGTGTGTAAAATATGCTGGACCGTTATAAAAGTGCATGAATTTTAAAGTTCCCTTTGTCTAATTGATGTACAATAAAGTTTACAAAACTATTACTTAATACTTATTTAGATAGATTGCTTTACGTGAATGAGAACGATTTAGTCACTAGCACTGAAATTGGTATTTAAGTCGATTTTTTGCTAAAACGGAGACGCACAGGTTACTTCACTGTATACACTCCAATCCTACAGGAGCCTCTTCTCACGTGTGCGAAGGGTGAAGGTGATGCGGTATGAACCTTTGTTATTAGGAGGCTTTTAGTTGAATTGACACTAATGATAAGAAAAATTTAAACACATTTTGTATTCCCAAGAAAACAAGTTTGTTTATAATAAATTGGAAAATTACGGTATGTATTCGACGTGTAAGTTATTAGAATTCATCCTCGATGGGAAATATTGCGATTTCCACGAGTGTTTAATTTTTTTTCTTCTTTTCTTAAAATTAGGACGCCGTGGAACGGGCTCCCATGAATGAGAAATTGCCCACTTTTTTAATTTTTATTTATTACTGTGACGTAGTAAAGCAGTCTTTTTATGTGTAACACAGACTAAGTAAGCAAACAATCATAAATAAATAATGTTTAGCATTCATGTAATAACATAAAACTTATTGAAAGGGACACGTTTTGAGGTTATCTGAAAACGACCCGTAGTTGTTTCTTAAGTAAACCAAATGTATTTTTTTTTCCACCTTTATTACATGATTTAATTGCCATAATAATATGTAAATATTTGTTTGCTTTTCACAGATGCTAATCCTTTACATCTAACTAAACTTTACAATAATAATGTCATAAAACTTAATGTCCAAAGGATTGCTATTTTATTTATTTTCCGTTTCTGTACTTGACGAAATCATTTTCGAGGCTTTTGTTTAAATTATGAATACGATAGATTCGCGTTAATTTTGAATCGATTGGCTTAAAAATCGCATTAAAATGAATCGATTCAAAAAATCGATCTTCATTAAAAATCGTAATGTAAATCTAACTCATATGACACAAAATGACGCTGCAACATCGAGTTGCAAAAACCAGCCCGCCCTACAATACCACACGGTAACATAACAGTCATATATTTGTACGTCATTGTAGTACTCAAAGATACAACAGTAAACTTGCTCATGATAAGAAATTATCACCATAGCATAAAGTTATTTTTGGTATTCAAGGAATTACAATTTGGTGCCTCTTTCACTGTACACTTCTGGTGCTAATTATAAATTGTCCTTATATAATATCTGACTGTTTTGAAGTTACACATTGTAAATGATACTTCTATTTTTTGTTTTTAATAATTTGTTTTTACAAATATATTAACGCTTCGGGCTCTTACAATTCCCATAATGACCGCATATATCGACTGTGAACTGGCAATCGGTACTACCTCAATTTTGAACTTTACAGGATGAAGAAAAAAATTGCTTGCGTCATTTATATATCATCTGGTTTATTAAATAGAAATACGTAGTTTTTAAATATTTTTATTACACATGTATGTACGTACACTACGTATTTTTATTTAATAAACCTAATGCTAATTCAGTGCCACTCAGAGCTTTAAATCGCAAAGACCTTAGGGGCCTGCCACTGCCACTGCGCCCGTCACCCTGAGACATTAGTTGACAACTCCCATTTGTCTGTAATTTCACCAGCACCCTTAACCCTTTCAAACCGGAACACAGTAAGCTAATATTACTGCTTGGCGGCAGAAATAGGTAAGGTGGCAGTACTTCCCTGGACGAACTCTTTCACAAGGAACTCTACTGCTACTTTCCAGTCTTGTTGATTACTTCTTTTACTCTAAGGCTGCGAACATACTGACTGCATGTTAGCAGTTAATGCGTGAAGTCATAATTATCAACTTCATGCAGCCGAGAGCTCGATTCTCGATGGACTATTTACACTTTGTTATGTATTTTATTTCAAGATATAACTTTACGCATAGCCGTTATAGATATATATTTGCTTACAAATAACTCCGTACCTGAGAAGCATTACACTGTTAGTGTTATTTTTGTAATTTTACAGAGGACGCGATTTTGTGTGGAAATGCAGCATGTACAACATTTAGAATGGCTTGAAATAAAATTAATTGTGTTTTAATAACATTTCGAGCTACCATATCTGTCGTACAGATTGCTTTTCGACACAAAATCGCTTCCCCGTAAAATTACAAAAATGGCGCTTACAGTGTAATGCTGCTCAGGTATGGAACATAATCCCTCTCATTGGTCAAAGTAGAAGTCAAATAATCTTTATTTATTACAATTGAAATCGTCATACTGATTAAACTCTACTGCTCATTCGTAAGGCAGATTCCCCTGAGAAGAATGAGCAAAAACTCTAGGGGTTGTCCTTTATAAATAATACATTTGAATACATTTATCATTACAATATTTAATTTAAATATCTTAGATCGAATATACCTGAAAGATCCTGAGTGATAATCAGCGCCTTAGGAAACTTTGGCATATTTGGCTGAATCAGCGCCCTTTCAATGCTATGGCAATAATGTTCTTTTTAATTTTAAAAAGCAAAATTTCAATTTAAGGACTGTATGGGTTTCAATATATCGTATGTATTAATTCGTTTATCCCATAAACTCTATAAAGCGTGAAACACAGAGAACGTGTGCGGGTTGGGCGCGTGACGGGTCGGGCGCGTGACGGGTCGGACGCGTGACGAGTCGGGCGCGAGTCGAGTCGGGAGTACGGCGAGCGCAGGATCCGACCTGCGCCCGTCCCACACCCGCTGTCAATGAACTTCGCGCTTTAGTAACAAGATCAATCGACACCATAAAAAGAAAAGTCACATTCGCATAACTTGCAAACTAATACATTTTATTTTTCACTTACAGCGTTGTGAGTAATTATGAAAGCACGAAATCTTTTAACAACAATATGCTGTATATACAGACCAGTTCAGAAAGCTGCCTTGACTGGCCCGTCTCAATAACTGATATAAACAATATTAATACACGACTATTTGAAGATTTGATTTTGTTACATCCTAAGATATTTGGGACATGGGAAGACATGAACTCAGTTGTCTCGCGGTAACAACATGACGCTTGATGTGAAGATCCTATGATCTTCCAATATGTTCGATTACAATAGGATGTAATTAAAAAACTAACTTTTTTAAATTGGTTATGATTGGGGTGTTCTGGGTGAGTGTCAAGTGTTATAGTTTGAGACCAAGTGATTGTCTGGGCACATTATCATATCAAGAAATAAATTAAAACATTCCAATAAAATGTTACATATGCTTTACAGTTGTAAATCACTATCACTTTTCATTTTTATGGCTCCATCATTATGAGAAATGATGATTTTGCCAATGTCACGGTTGAAAGAAAAAAAAACGAAAAAAAAAAAATTCGCTAAGCTCTAATAGGACATTAACCGGTGTTGGTAAGTTGGACCACGGGAGTACTCAGTTGAGAATGTAAAACAAAAGACAACATTTATAAATATATGTTATTTGAGTGGATAAATTTACATAGAGTAACAATATGGGGGGAGAACACTAAAGTTAAGAGATTGTTGTAAATATTTGGATTCCGAGATAGGTTAAGCAATTAACTATTATTCAAAGAATGTACACTATTTGATAAAATATTTCTACAACTCATTTATCTGTTCTTAGATTAGGATTTTCCTGTTTTTTTTTTGTTTAGTAAACTTTGAACAAATTGCATCAAAGCGAGTTCTTAGATGTTCTTGACTACCACAAATAGGAATTTGGTCACAGCTAACTTGACAGATCGTGGGACCTGTAAAGGGCCTTTAGATCCGAAAAAATGGTCAACAGCCAGCAAAACAAATTTACTTTGCCTCAAAAGAACCCAAAATAACATTATCAGTGTACTTAACTGCTACACCCTGGTACGCTCGCAACTCCGAAATAAACAACTATCTGGACATATCAACGGTTCTCGAAGAAGCTAAACGCTATATAGTTCAATGCGGGCATGGACTAGAAATTCTGTTGCTGCCAAACCCAATTAAAGCACTAAAAAAAAGTTAATGTCCTGATAAAGGGAGATAAGGGAATGGCCTTCATTTTCTGGAATGTCCAACACATCTGGTTGACTGATTGCAGACTTCAAGAATTTTCTTCTTTCGAAATTCGAAAAAATAGTTCCATTTCAAATTTTTTCATATTTAAAACATTAACTGTGACCCGACTGTATTGCATCTGCATAATAAACGAAAAGTAATTTGAGCACCACCTGCAACAAGCATGTCAAAGCGCTTCTTCCCAGTTGTCACCACTGGCTTTGTTCCCACTGGTGAAATAAAAACCCATATGTTACCAGGTGGTGACAAACGGGATAAAAAAATCCCAGTTGTTGCCAGTGGTGATTTCTACTGGCGACAAATGGGAAAAAAATCCCATATGTTACCAGGCGACAAATGGAATTTAAAATATCCCGGTAGTCAGTGTCCAGTTGCAAAGTAATTTTGCCAACAATTTTAAAACATCTTTTGAAATCTGCCAACAGTCTATTTTTCCAATAAACAAATAGAAGATCTCAACGTGGCTCACAACCACACCAATTTACCTGATTTCAAACTTGGCTATTCCCTGCAATATGGTTACCAGAGCAACGGAATTCACTCCGGGTCACTGCACACACCACCCAGACCAGAACTAATTCAGAAAACTTTATTTTTTTATAATACCTAGTGACAAGACGAACAAGTCGTGCCACTGGTGGTAAACGACACGCATGTCCATAACAGCTTGCAGTGTAACTCAGAACTTTAAATCATAAAGATCTTCGGGGCATTGCCACTGCAACTGTCTACCAGAGACATTAGTTGACAAGTCACATGGGTGCCTGTAATTTCTCTTGTACCCTTCCAAATCAGAATGCAGTAATGCTCACATTACTGCTTGACCGCTGAAATGGGTAAGTTCATTTTCCAAATTGCTTTATCAGGAACCAAACCCCGTATTTCCTCATCCAACGCCCACAGGGCAAACTATACTAACTAATCTACTATCAAATTTAACTCTAACAATACAGGCTAGAACATCTAGAAATGCTTCAATTTAGAATAGTTGAAACATCTAGTGACCAGAAAGTTGACATTAGCTATCAGAACAGCCTAATCCTATATGAGAACCTTAGTTGTGCTAGCCACTGAACAACCAAGATTCTCAGAATACGTCCAATAAATACATGAGAAACTGGAGCTCATAATCACCAGACTGAATGCACATCAACACTTATAAAAAATAAACAGAGAATTTACTATGAGTAACAAAAATAAAGAACAAAATGGTTCATTTATGAGTACACAAAACGGAATCGCAAAATTTAATTACAACCAATAAAGAATGTGAGTTCAAAGGTCTCACTACGAAGACCGCAATAACCACAATAAATACATTTATCATATTATTGTAGTGTCTAAACTTAGATATCACACTTGATAGATAAAACAACAACAAAATATAACGCAGTTCAGATGTATTTAAATATATGCATTTATTTACAAACTGTATAACTAGTATATACTGCGAATAGGCATGTTGCATTGTTTATCGCGACACTTTTGCACGATTCACTGTGCACACATAATTGATGACATTTACATCTGTCAAATCTATAATCTCGGGTAATACATAAGCATGGACGATGATTATCGAACGCAAGATTTTGAGCACTAACTTACCCACAAATTATGAACGAGACACTGCATAATGATCGTCAGCCGGTACAGAAGAATGTCACATAGCAAGATTCCGACAAAAAAACACGAAAGCAAACCCAAGTGATGTCGTTATAGCAGTCACGTCAATCACCCCGGACGTCGTACTCATGCTAATTTGCGATCTATTTAGATACTTGCTAAAATCTGCAGACATCGGCCGTTCTAATGCAGTCCGAATGGCGCATAGCTTCACTTTCACTTTTTATTTTTATGGCTCCATCAATATGAGAACTGATGATTTTGCCAATGTCACAGTTGAAAGAAAAAAAAAACGAAACAAAAAAAAAAAATTTTCGCTAAGCTCTAATAGGACATTAACCCCCGATTAAATAGAGTAAAAAACTAAAAGTGACAGAACGTCAACCCCATTAAACTGTTTTAGAGGCGTTAAAACACGATTTATACCTTACTATCGGCATCCTCGAGCGCGTCAACTATTTTATCGACTCACAACCGTTACTTTAGCTAAATTGATATTGGATTCTATAAATACTTACAAATAAAAATCTGGAAATCACACCATTGTTTTTTTTCTACTGCACAATCAGTAAACTGGAGTTACCGTACAAAACAAAATTTACTACCATGTAAAGTAGGTCAAATGGAAAAGTGGAGTTTATTTTCGTCTTCCTTTTAGTTAATCCTCTTGACTACAAGTGCAAATTCAAATAAATCTTTCAATAACAATGGTAATTAAAAAACCAAAATAAAAAGAAAAATGATTTTAAAATGTCTTTAAATTGGAAAGACATAAAACTACCAACTGATAAAATATTTATTATTTAGTAACATTTTAAGTCGGATCAATGTTCTGTTGCACGCAAAAATAGAGACAAGATTACTTTAAAATGTGCAAATTTAAAAAAAAAATACTTATTTTACCATATTTTACATAATTCCTTATTTTTTTTTAATTTATTTATTGTATAAAGGACAAAATACACTTTCAAAGCATTTACAATCATTTTATGTATATGTTCCAAATGTTTAGCAAGTGTTGAAAAATTTGAATTGTTCCTTGAATTTGTTACTTTGCGTCTAAAGATTCGCAAACGTCATGTCGTTAAAAAATTTGGCTGTAATGAATTCATATTAAATTAATTTTATTAATCCTTAATTCCTAAGAAAAACATATATTTTTAAAAAAAACAACGAGTTTTTGTAATAAATGATAAATTTGTGTTTTTGTGATTAAATTATGTCATTTCTATTGCCTCTATGTCAACTTTTTTAATTTCTCAATTTCCGAACGGAAAATTGTGATGTCGATTGTGTACATGGCATATTTTTAATTTTTATCATTTTTACGTGAAATATGGAGTAAATAATTGAATATCCGTTTTTAATTAAACAATGGCGTTCGTGAGTGCTGTGACAGGCGACGACTCCACTAGGAAGTTTATGGAAGTCCTTCAAAATGACTTCAAGACTCTTAGCTTGGAGACGAAGAAGAAATATCCCCAAATAAGAGAGGTTTTTGCACTTTTCTATTGTTTTTAACTGTAGTAAGCCTTTAAGACATCTTCCGTAATCCCATTAACAACCTTGGTGTTATACAATAAAGAAAAAACTTAATAAAGTAATTATAATTTGTAGTTGCAATATATTTGACATGCATAAAATATATATGAATTCATAAAATGTTTGCATCAATTAGCATGCACCGGTGTTTACTAAAAGCACGCAACACAATTAACTAATTAAAGTTGACCTAGGTTAATTTTTCTTTTGTATTTGTTATATTTAGTACTTAGAATAAAAATTGAAAAACATACTAGAATGTATAATTGATATCTTTATCTTCCTATCAGATTGGCGATTACTAATCGTGGTATGTTTAAATTAGGGTGGATTTAAATAAATCCAGTTTAATTTTATTGTGTTTATTAGTAATAGTACAATTTTTATCCTTCTAGGCAATTCAAGGTATTTGAGGCATACTGCCAGGTCTTATCTATATATATATTGATAATGATGTTATATTTAAAATATTGTACTATCTCATTTAATCAGACTTTTAGTTATGATCTCTAAACATGTAACTACATATTTTGCACTCCCATGCAATTTATAGTACAATAGGTTTAATTTAAATTTAGGTTAAAAATTAAATTTAGGTTAATTGAATTAAATATTTCTACAAAACTCAGGGATTTGGAACACATTCCAATGTATGAAAAATCATTTTTTTAAATTTGACCAGCTATCCCTATTTTTTTCTTCTCATACAATGTAATCATACTAAGAAACTGAGTCTATTAGCATTAACAAAAATTGTCATTTTTATTCATTTTGTACAAAAAATATTTTATCAAAGTCCCGATTTTCTTTATCCCATAGAATAAAATGATCACTTCATGAAACTGATTGGATAACACTAACAAAAATTTTAATAAATTTTATTCATTTTTTAGACAACTCACACTTAATAAAAAAATTGAGTATACCAAAATTGTTTTCACAAAAAAATCTTAATGGCTCCTAAGACAGTTTCCTTGTATCTTCTATGGTTTCGGATTTCTCTATTACTGTCCCATTTAAAAAGAAAAACACTATATTTAAAAAAAATTTGGTATTGTGTTTTTTTGTATTGTTGAACAAATTAGTTTCTCAAATTCTATGTTGTGATGCCAATTTTTTAGTGTGGGTGCAATACGACTTCTGACACCTAGACTCATTCAGGAATCTCTACATCTTCTTAGGGAAATTGAAAATTTTAAGGAGCTCCTCACTCAAAGATGTTCCTTGTACATTGCCACAATGATAGAACTTGTTTCCTCCATCATCATGCAACACTGAAGCTTGCATAGGCACAAACACCTAAATGCCTAAATGAAATAATTAAAAGAAACAAATGCTATATAAACTAACAAACATTATATTTTGTTAATTTGTCTTTCCATGTCGAGACCATCCTTTAGGTCATCTGTGATCATGTGACCATGGTATCTAAATTTGTCATCCACTTGCAACGCAGTACCATCCAGCACAATCGACAGAACTTTTTCAGGTTATGTTTGTTCTCGGAATTGAATCATGTCTCTTTAACGCCTATAAAGTGTCTAAAACCTGAGCCACTAAGAGAATTGTGTATGAAAATGTTCCATTACATATACATAATGAATTGCAGGCATGTGACGAGGCCATAGAGAAGCTGTCGCTGGCATCTAACAACCCTCAGGCTTCTCTATATGGAGTAGTCAACCAGATCCTCTACCCGCTTGTGCAAGGATGCGAATCCAAAGATTTGAAGATTATCAAGGTAGACCATTTTTTGTAATTATAAGGATAACACGCAGGCTTCACCTCATGATAATTACCAAAATTTTTTTAGACTACAATATTCCAAATATCGTCAGTTAATAAAATTGTAAACCACCGATCCCAAAAATAGGTATTTAAAAAACATAGTCCTAGCAATGGTTTATCCATGGGTGCACGCATATAGTTATTAGGGGATATTGCAATTAGGTGTAATTAGCATTGGGTTATGAGTTTGAATTTCAGTATTTAGTGGCCAAATGAAATCAGCTTAAATGTTACAACCAAATTAGTTTGATTTGCTGTGATCTGTTGTTATGACTCTATAGACAACATAAATTACTGTTTACTGTGCAGAAATGATTGTCGTAACCATTAAAACCCTTCTCCTATAAAAATTTAGTTTAGGATATAGATTAGATATATATATATATATATGTAATTATACGCGGATTTGCACTATCTTACGGTATAACACATACAAACTCGTGTGTGTAACACATCGTGTCATTCCCCTCACACAAGAATTGGTCTGCCCCAGTTGCTAAAGATAAGGAAATAAGTTCTTTTTGCTTAATTTTGTTTAATGATGATATTTTTTCAAGTGTTTTTCCTTATCATTCAGTTCAGGCCTCAGTTCAAATCTTATTTATTAAGAAGACAAATGAAATATAGTGGCTTTCACTAATGTTCGTAAAATGTAAAAATCCAAAAATTTCCAATTCACATACTTTCTCTCTGGAGTTAGAGATAAAAATGTAAATTAGCAAGCCTGAACAAATTTTTAAAATATGTGAAACATGTTTTCTATGTCAAAAACACTGTGTGGACCTGTTAATCAGTATGTTCGCAATTAATATGGGTTTAGGTCTAATGTAAAATAGACATTAACACTTATATTATTTTTTGAGTTGTGCGTTCTGAAGGCGGCTTCCTACTCGGCACGTGATTTCACAGTCCGCGACACGCTGCGCCGATTTGTTCGGGCGTGCTCGCGCCACTGGCCTACACGACGACACTGTTCTCCCAGTGCGATGGCACGATTTCGCGCGGCACGGCCCGTGAGACCACAGGCCGTGAGAAGCCAGCTTAAGTTGAGATTTATAAAACGCAATGCAAATTTTTCACGAATATTGCCTAAGTTTAAGCAAGAAAGTACATTAGACTTTGAGATTACTTCGTAATTTCTTGCTTAAACTTAGTGTTAAGGAGTAGCGGGAAAATCAGGCTATCTAAGCAGAAAAACAAGAGCGAACGCACCATAGGCAAAAATATACAAAAACAATGAGTAATAGAAAATAACTGAAAAGATTTATATCTGCCCTGTTCAGTAACCAGTTCGCAACACTTGGCTAAGTTCGTTTTGTAAATAAGAAAAATGTACTTAGCTCAGCTCGTCATTTTCAATACAATACAACACAAATATTCTTTATTGCACATGGACAAGTGCAAAATAATACAAAAAAGTAAAAATGACAGGTACAACAGGCAACCTTCAGGTTACAGGAGAAACAGAAAACATATTTAATACACATATTGCTTAGTTGAAACCAAAATTAATTTTATAAATCTCAGACTCATAAGATTATCCTAAAGAATATTCTAAAGTTTCACTCTTCTTTTCAGTTCTGTCTAGGCACGATCCAGCGCTTGATTGCCCAACAAGGCATAGATGCGAAAGGCGCACGCCACGTCGTAGACTGCCTCTTTAATCTCGGCCAGGCTGGAGTGCTGGAGCTGAAATTGCTGCAGACTGCTGCACTGCTCATGACCACGTCTGATCTAGTGCATGGAGACACTTTGGCTAGGGTACGCCTTATAACACTTTTTCGCGTTGTTTTTTGCGCTTCCTTGTAAAGTTGGCTCTTTTGACTTGTACCCCTTTTCAGTAGAGCCACAGAAATTAAAAATTAAGTCTTAATTTTTTTGCGTTTAAGCAACACGCTGCATTTTGGACTTTTTGTTGTGTCGCGGTGTTGTTGATAATTATTTAAACATGTCTACCACACTTTTGTTTTAAGGCGATGAGGTCCCCAAAATCGCTTAAATAAGGTGTTTTTGTACTAGTTTCTAGGCGATGACATAGCACGTGGAACTTTGAAAATAGTACATCCTGTAACACGTATCTTGAAGTGTAATTTGATTAACCTAGAATATTGCTTATTGTTATAGGTAATACAAAAACTGGATTACAGTGAGACTCTGGTGGTTATTTTTTGACATATTTTTCTCGGGCAAATCAAACTTGCTTACTACCAAATTTGGTGTGGTTATTTAAATGGTACTTATCTTTAACATGGCCTTTATTTTTTTGGTAAAAGACAAATATAACAATTTTAGGAGTAAAAAGTTAATTTCGCCTACTAAAGTTCGAGCTAAATGTTTGCTTGCAAATTATGGTTAAACACTTAACAGTGTGAAAAATGTCATACACAAAAATAATACGTAAATAGGTAAATATAGTGCACCAATTCGTTGAAATCAAACCAAAATATAACAAAAAAGTCTATATATAAAAGAATAAAAAATAATATATATTTTTGGTTGGATTAGAACCATATTAGAACCTAAAACACAAAGAATTCAAAAGAAAAATGAAATTATTGTTTGCGTCCTTGATTATTTAGTAAAATTGCAACGTTGCGAACTTGTGCTGCGTAGCTTGCGTTCGTGGGATACGTTGCCAGACCTCACTCATATGTTTTGACGATTGAATTTATTCTATTGTAATCGGCTGTCTACCATCGTGCACTATACTTACGAGATAGTTCTTATATGCTTGGATATTTTTTGGTTTCAAATTAGTCTCAAGTTATTCCATTAGTTGATTGGTTTGATGGTAAGCAAAAAAAATGGGAAACAAGAAAAGGCGTAAACCACGATTGTCAGTAAAGTTGACGCGGAAACGTATTACTCGTTAGGCAAATTCTGCTGCAAGATCCCAACAAATACAGCAAAATAGGGGCGATGCTGATAAGTAAGTACCTTCTAATCACCGTAATAAAATACTTTTGTAAAATACCAATAAAAATACCATAAATACCCATTCCGTGCATTTTTTAAATTCACATTTTAATACCTATACATATAACAAACCGAAAGGAAATATCCTGATACATGCAATAGTTAATAGGTACTTACTTTTTGCATAACATACCTTATTGCGACAATCGAGTAATTTCTTGTCTATCTCTTCTTAGCTCTATGTAAGTGCTCCCTCTCATATACACATATATGAGAGGGAGCAAGTGTGTATTTTAAGTACAACGCCATCTGTTAGCGACAACCAATATACTATTATGTTAACTCAAGCTGAAGGTCCAACTAGCACACTCTTACCACATCCGCGTATGGCGCCATCTCATCGGAGAAATTATAGTAGGCGCGTTATCGCTCAACGTCAGCGTCTTAAATCAATTGAAGAAAAAAAACGCAGGTCACAATATTTTTTTTATTATTCTGCTATGCTCTTTATTTCAAGCTTATATCTAGCAAAAAAGTTGACGCTGGTTAAATTTTTCTGGAAATAAAGTACCAAGCTCCATACTATCCAGATCCCGATATCCAGAATGTGTAGATATTGCAATGATATCCATTCTGACCATGATCTGTATAAAGGTAGTTATAACAGTTTTAGAAGACTCCTACATCCGAATCCACCACCTTAATTTCGTTACGTAAGCATTATGTTTTTATGTCTTTTATTCTTTTTTTTTATTTCTTAAGCATATTTAGTAACAGTAGAGCTCCTTGTGAAAGAGTTCGTCCAGGGTAGTACTGCCCCCTTACCTACTTCTGCCGCCAAGCAGTAATGTCAGCATTACTGTGTTCCGATTTTGAATGGTAAGGGTGCTGGTGAAATTACAGGCACATGGGACTTGTCAACTTACGGCTCAGGGTGACGGGCGCAGTGGCTGTGCCTATAAGATCTTTGTAATTTAAAGCTCTGAGTGGCACTGCAAATGTTATGCAACAGGTAGGACTGTTATGGACAGTCCGTCAGGCGCACGACTTGTTCGTCCCGCCACTTGTAATTATATAAAAAAATTAAATAATTTCTTCTACATATTAATGTGTACTATTTTTACTAAAGTGTTGTATATAGCTATAATTGGATTGCAGGTTTATATTCATTCATGTAGAATATTTTTGTTGATGTATATTCTGATCTGTGGTCTGTTGCTGTACCATATCTAATAAAATAAAAATAAAATAATTCGGTACAAGTCTTTTGAAAAACCCCCGATATAAAACAGCGGAGGTCCTTAAAAACCATTTCAATGAGTCCAAACGCGATAGTTCTACTACTCGTATAAGTAGTTGAAGAGTTGGGTAGTCTGCAGAATGTCATGATATTCAATAAACTTAATATTTTTTTATATTTTTGTTCAATAGACAATGGTAATGTGCATGCGAATGGTGTCGACCACCGAGACGCGCGACGTTAGCACGAGTCACGCGGCCTCTGCAACTGTACGGCAGCTCGTTGCTCTGGTCTTTGAAAGGGCGCTTGCAGAGGCAGAAGGTACTGTACCCACATCTGTCGCTTCTATTTTTGCCATATGTTCAGCTCACTGATGCAATGCGGGTTGGTGAAACACTCTCCAGTTTTCTTACGAATTTTTTTTCGTAACAATACGCCAATTTTTTGGTCCTGCAGTCAACAGCCATATTTATTTACTAATATTATGCTCCCCAAATTTTGTGCAAAAAAAAAAGAAACAAAATTCGAAAAAACTACAAAAAAATAATCTAGTGTAAAGTCAGTACAGAGTACTAAAACAACCGACCTCAAAAGTTCGTTTTATTGAAATCGGATACCGGAATGTACGTGAAACCGAATTCATCCCCTAGATTGCCACCCTTACTCTTGGAATATTTTCTTCAAATTTAAATGAGGCCATTACTGAGGTACCCTCTTTCCAACAAGAAAAGAATCATCAAAATCGGTTCACAAAAGCCGGAGTTATCACGTAACATATAATATATAAAAAAAAACAGTCATCAAAAAACAAAATAAAAAAAGAACCGGTCCAAAAATTTAATTGGCGTAGTGTTCATTGAAGGTATCGATTTATCATCATCTCTTTTTATTTAGTTTTTATTTCTTATGCAAATCATAAAATATTAGTAAAAGTATGACACTATAATAAGAACAAATAAATTTGTGTCTCAATAACAACCGCGCACAACTTGCAAATAACATTTTGCAACTTAACGGATAACCGTTAAGTTGCAAAATGTTATTATTTCTATTGACTTAGTTAGCCAAAGAAATCTTACCTGTTTCTACCGCCAAGCAGTAATATAAAATCATTACTGTATTCCGGTATGGAAGGGTGACGGTACAGGTGAAATTACAGACACAAGGGCCTTGTCAACTTACGTCTCAGGGTGACGGGCGCAGAGGGAGTATCCCTTAAATCCTTGCGATTTGAAGCTCTGAATGGCACTGCAACAGTTTGTGGACAGGCGTGTCGCTTACCACCAGGCGCACGACTTGTTAGTCCCGTTACTTGGCATGATTAAAAAAATGTGTATACTACGTATATTCGTCCTACTATAAGCACGATTCGTCAGAGCATTGCAATTTGTACCATTTCTTCACCACATAAAACATTAAATGTAACTCAACACACACCGTGTAGAGCAGAGGTTCCCAGACTTTTATTCTCATAGACCAGTTAAAAATATATCTGGTTCCTGTGGACCCCCTGCAGCTACATTTCTACCATATTCCCAAAACTCGATAAAAAATGTAATCTAACTATGGAAATTTGCAACGCGAATTGCTGAGTTCCAACCACAAATTAATAGTTTTCGAAAAAAAAGTGAGAATTTAATTGATTGTGCTATGAGTGGATGTCAAAAAAGTAAAGACACGTTGTACTGAATATGCAAGTTTTCACAAGTAACAGTCGCTGAGCTTCTTAAAATATTATCTGCCTGCAAGCAGATAAATTTTCGTTTTTGTTGTGAAATTGTGAAATTGTGAACCCCCAGTTTTTTGTCACGACAACGTAGATCCCCGTCGCATCTCCCGTAGACCCCTGGGGGTCCACCTGGACCACTTTGGGAACTAAGGATGTAGAGCATATGCGCATACACATCACTGATTTTCATCTTGTTCCCTCTGTTGTGGGTACAACAACAAAAACATAAACAAAATTAAAACTAATGAAACTCACAACACACACAATTACGGGCACATTGGACTTGTCAACTTATGTCTCAGGGTGACGGGCGCAGTGGCAGAGCCCCTCCGATTTAGCAATTTAAAGCTGTGGCACTGTAACTATTATGGACAGGCGTGTCGCTTACCATCAGGCGCATGATTTGTGCATCCCGTCACTTGTTGTATTATAACAAAAAAAAACACATTTATTATAACAACAGTTTTTAAATGTCATAGATCATCTTATAACAGTGATCGGAATTAAGGGAGTCATGAGTTGTTTTCGCTAAAGATTAAAGTGGACATTCCCTTCTGTAAATCCGGGACTTCTCGGAACTGTTTTGAATATGCGTATTTATTCATTGGAATTTGAGTACAACAAGTTATTATTAACTATTAAACATTTGCTACAAATTATTATCTCAAACAATAACATTGTACTTGTGTTTCTAAAGGTACTTACGTATTTAAATACATTAGCCATTTAAAAAATAAAGATGAGACAACCTATGTTTTGAAAATGTTTAGAAAAAAAAACAGCAAAGGAAATTTTATACGCATTGATGATGAAATGGGCATTTCCATACTTAGAAAACATTCATACTTTAGGTAGATTGACTCCCTAAATTCCGATCACTGCTTAAAACGCACAAACTCATAGGGGGTGCCATAGGCACACACATGGACAACCACAAATTACACCCAAAGTCACGAGAAAAATAAATGTAGGCCATACAAATATTTCTCCCGGTCCGAGAATCGAACCCGGGACCTCTGCATGGCAGTTCAGCTGGCCTATAGCGGTGCTAGCCTAGAATCAAAAACTCAGAAAACAGTCCACGACCTGGGTTTATAACTCTTATACTAAATTATATTATTTTCAGGTACACTAAAAGTGAATCCAGCAGATATTAGACCTCAAAACAACAGCAAAGCGCCAAAAGATTTGAAACCTTGCGCCGTGGACGCATACCTCATTTTGCAAGTAAGTGTTAATTTTGCTAAGTGCCATTTTCCACTAATCGGCGGCTAGTTCCACTTCCGAGTCGCGGCCACATCAATAAATATTTTACATGACTTATTTGAATAAATATGAATACGTAAACGACCACGAATTACTTTTTAACCGACTTCAAAAAAAGGAGGAGGTTCTCAATTCGACTGTATGTTTTTTTTTGTATTTATGTTACGCGATAACTCCGGTGTTTGTGAATCGATTTTCTTGATTCTTTTTTTGTTAGATAGAGGGTACCTCCATAGTGGTCCCATTTAATTTTGAAGAAAATCATCCACCTCTAAGGGTGGCTGTTCACGCATGAATAGCGCCTAAATTTTAGTATAATGAGGAATTATTTTAATGGTTGATTTTGCTATTCTTTAATTCAAGGCGTTTTTCTCTCAATATACTTTGAGTAGTGAGAACCGATTTTTATTATCTCCTGCGTCAAGTCCCGTATAGTGGCGAACTAGGGGATGAATACTCCAGGTTTGCGCACTTTCCGATAACCGATTTCAATAAAACTTGGTAATTGTATGTAATTCCACTTAGTTTTGAGGTCGGTTTTTTATTACTCTGTACTGAGATTATTATTAATATATTTTATTTCTAAGTTGTTTGGTATCATGAGTACGATCATCATCTTACATTTCGTTACATTCTTCGTAGATATGAAATCTATTCGACAAATGCAAAGAAATTTTGCAGTCAAGTGCGTGGTTCGATGACAGTTGCAATCCGCTGTTCAAAAGGCTAAACATATTACCTTTGCCATACATGTACATTAGGGATATCTGCGTATTTGTCAACTCTCATTATCAATATTTTAAAACACACGGTGAAGTCATTCAAAGGCAAACTAGAGCAAAAATTATGAATCTTTTATAGCAACCTCGTTGCCATAAAGTAATTTATAAGAATAACTGTTTCAACATGTGTATAATTATTTACAATAAATTACTAAACGAAATTAAATTGTTACATGGACATACTTTTAAATTACATTTAACAAAATGGCTTTTGACACATTGCTTCTATAGTAATGAAGAATACTTAGCATTTACAAATTAATTACATTAATTAGAAACTGTAGAGACAAAACATTAAATCCTATCAATCTTTGCACATCTGATTGCAGGTTGAATACAATGTACCTAATTATATTTAAGACCTATGTAATTAATGTATTCTGGCAAAGAAACGTATTCTATTCTATTCAAATAGAATCGATGCTGCGCGACCTATCAGTTAGATATATATTCTGTGGATCTAGTAAAGTGGGCTTTTTTGACTTGTACACGTTTTCACTAGAGCCGCATGATTAGATTTTAGATTAGATTTAGATTTTTAGATTAATGTTTATTTGCCAAAATAGAGTAAATATACAGGTCTTAAATTAAATTGGTACAATGTATTCAACCTGCAAGCAGGTGTGCAAATATATTGGAATTTATTGGTACAGGTAATTGAAGTTAATTAAAATGTCAAATATTTCTAAATTCAAAGTATTCCTTATTGCTATAGAAGCAATGTGTCATAAGCATGGAATTAATAAGTACTTCGTACAACTGGAAGGCTTACTGTGTATTGAAGCGTGCGCCGAGCGAGATGTCATAAATCTTGGTCCGTCTCTTTCTGACTAGTGGTAGACCTGTGGTAATAACAAACAGAGATGACGCCATATTATTTTAGTGTTGCCTAATGTAAAACAAATAAAACTTTCCAATAATATTTAAATATCGTGAAATAATATAAAGACTTTGATTTATTTGCGACCTATTGCATTCATAGTTGGTATGGTATTATTTACAAACATCTTATAATATTCATGGACAAAATGACGTATTGTTTTTATGCCAATTTTTTTTTATAGTCAACTACCGTATTGTATCAAATATCTCACATGGCAATTGTGCGAAAGGGACACACCAAGAAAGAAGATGTCTCACTTGAGCTCAGATCTCTAAGGAGATATTGGTTATTTAAAAAGTATTTTATTGCTATTCATTTAACGTTCATTTTGATATGTCAAAATAATTGCAGTGAGCTTTCCAGTTGTACGAAGTACTTATTAATTCCATGGTCATAAGCCATCTTGTCAATTGTAGTTTAAAATTATGTCCGTGTAGTAATTTAATGTCACTTGGTAAATTATTAAAAATCTTAATGCACATGTTGTAGCAGTTATTTGTGTAAATTATTTTATGGCAACGAGGTTGATATAATATTTAATGATGATATTTAAACTTTGGCTTTTCAAGGCGAGAGTGAATGAATGTGTGGGTTATTTGTTTAATTATATGTGGTTATGTTATGTTCCTCACATTAGCTTTAATAGATAAAATCAAAATGTTCACAAATTTTTGAGATCGCGGCGAAAATTTAGGGCAAAGTGCCAGTGGAGGCGTTGAAATTGAAAAAAACCCTTAATGTCGCATGATAATAATATCATGTCAATCGCCTGGTGTTATTAGTCAGATTTGGTAGACTGTTATAGCGTAGGTATTTTCGATTTTGTATGAGTATAACTATTAAGTATACTGTGGTTATACTATTACGAGCAAGTTAATGAAAGTTAATCATGCACATTAGGTACAACATTGAAGATGAAATACTGATACGAAATTTGTATATAACTTTACGTCAAAATTGTAAATAACATCTTTTAGTATTGTAAGAAAGAAATATTAACAAACAAAATTCGCAACTACATAAAATATCTAAAAATGCTTAAAGTTAAGTGCTTTATTGAATGTCCGGATGTGTCGCCAACATGATATTCAATTACTTTTTGTGGTCCTCTGGTTCGTTCCGTGGCTTAATGCTTAAAGTTGTCGAATCTAATCTGCGTTCCATGCTGATGACGTCATCGTCGTAGCAATTCTACGTTCTCCTTACAAGTACATCAACAATACGTGAGCGTATTTTTTCACAGGACATAATTCAATTAATAAACGGCGATTCCGCCCACTGGCTGGTGGGCATATCTGACGTGCCAAAAACCTTCGGCCTGGAGCTGCTGGACACCGTTTTGACGGACTTCTCGCCTATTTTCTTTAAGGTTTGCTACTGTCTTACTAATTTAAAACAACACTTACTATTAGCAGCCAAGGATGGAAATTTGAAGATGCGGTATCTAACCAGTGCGCGGCTATGACCTATAATTGATTAATTATTAATGGGTGGGACCGGTGTGTGGCTGTCCGGGATTGTTATTATGAATTAAATATTGGTTATGTTTAATAATTTGATTTACTTGTAGAAAAAGTGTTGTATGCAATCATTACATAATTAGGTTTTAAAATCTCGCACCTATTACTTAGGCCACTCCGCAAAATCTCGCGACCTATTCTACAGGATATATCACGGAGAGTGCGATGGAATTGCATAATTTGATTCCCCCTTCCCCTTTCCATCATCGGGGGACTAGGAGTAGGCTGGGGTTCCACCCCTATGTTGTGGATATTCCAAAGATTTGCACGGAGCGTTACGCTTCCACATACATATGGCGAACGGCTATAGAGAGGAATTCCCTGCCTGCAAACTTGTTCCCTGAACGTTATAACTTGGATCTTTTGAAGACGAGAGCGAATAGGCATTATTTAGTTGTGAAAATTTCATAGTTTTATTAGTTTTCTATACAAACTTTCATTCCCTATTTCACCCCTTTAAGATTTATTTTTGTGACAAAAAATAGCCTACGTCCTTCTCCCAGGTCCCATTGATCTTTATACCAAATTTCATTAAAATTGGTACAGCAGTTTGGGCGTGAAAATGTAACAAAGTTGCTTTCGCTTTTATAATATTAGGGATTGTTGTTTATGTTATTGATGATGATATTATCCCTTGACATTATATATTAAATTATAATATTACGACGTTGATATATAGTATATTCATATCATTTTTATATCTATTTCAGATATCGGAGTTCAGATTTTTATTGAAGGAACACGTATGCGCATTGATCATAAGGCTATTTTCACCCAATGTCAAATACAGGTATGTATAAATTGGTGACTGGTGATCATTTTAACGAACGGATGGTATGAAGTGGTTAACCGGCAGTATCATGAACGGTAGGCTGGGGCTATAACGCTGCTGATACATTATGTCCGGTTGCTGACCAATCAGGTACACAACCCGGATGCGCTGGCGCACTTAGGCCTGGTCGGCGTGCCGTTGCTCGCAGGCCGCATCGCCTCTTCGTCAATAGTGGCCCAGACTCGCGCACGCGGTGCTCTGACAGCGCACCTCCTTCGCGCGCAATTACACTCCTTAACGACTTCCTCACCCAGTATCACAATTTAGACATATCCTTTGACAAACAGTATGTTATCCGGCGCGGGATACTTCTGTTCGTGAACTACCTTTCGAGGAATGGTGTCCTGTAGAGTAGGTAGCATACTTTGCGCAGTGTTTTCCAATTTAATTGTGTAATATCATTTTTCTTAATTTTATTTTTGTATTTTTTTTTAATTTAACCAGATTGACTTGTAAGCGTTTTGGTAATGTAAATACTGTAAGCTTTCAAGTGTTTTTAAATGAATGAATAAATGAATTGCAATTACTACCTAAAAATATATTTAGGTTATATATAATGCATTTTTCTACGGTTTTAGAGAATTTGCGCGAAAAAATTACACAATCATACCATACAAAGCGAAAATGGAAGACTGAGTTCTTAGGTTTTCGCGATTGTTACACATAGGAAATGAAACTAATTTTCCGGATTCAAATCGCGTATATTTGTTTTTTCAAAGAAACCGACGTTTTGGGCCCTTTACATGTTCCAGGGTCACGGTTGACTGAGCTGGTACAGTCTTCAACCAGTTATGTCTAATATTGATGCAAACCACCCTATTTTTTTCACTATAGTTACAATAGTTATTAATTAAATACCTTGTTTTTAATTTTACAAAGAAACATTCCAATTTACGCTACATTAAGTTTAACAAATTATTTTATTGAATTCTTCGGCCGCTAACTAACTGTATTTGTAATTATGTGCTTGGTATCTTGAAAAAATGCGTGAACTTAACAAAAGTGGACTCTGTTTGAGTGATTGTTGTCCTACGCAGGGCCGCATTTACGGCGCTGCACATTCCGGGCGCGAGCACGGGCGCGGCGCCCACTAGTCCCGCGGGCGAACGGCCGCACTTCCCCGTCACCATGCGACTGCTGCGATTGGTCTCCATCATCATCCACAAGTACCACGATCTCTTGGTGAGTATATACAATTCAGTTTATTGAGCCATATACAGCTATGGGACACGGATACTAAACTTTGTATATAGGACATGGAGTGATGGTACCAATGATCTTCATTTTAAGGAAAGTGTGTCTGTAAATTTGATATAACTTTTTTGTTTTTAAACTTATATCAATAGTGGTTCAGTTTACTTGACAGATATAAACGTCAAGAAAGATTCTGCTGTAATTGGAAAGAAGAAAGTATCATAATTATAATTTCTAAGTTTTATTGAATGTCACCGATGTTTGACCACCTTGATATTCAATTATTTTTGTGAAATTTATTTATTTATTTATTTCAGACAACCCATAGATACATACCTTACAGACTTACATATAATATAACAATAATATAACAGAAATATTAAAAATAAATACCTTACGGACTAATCATAAATACAATATAACATGATAATATACATATAACACTATTTATTTACACGTATGTACTTCGACGTGTGACGCAACGTGGGTGTCCGGTAGCCGTCCTCGGAAACGCCGGTACATGACACCCTTCGGTCAAAAGTCTTCTCTCATGAAGGTCGACAGGTGTTGAGTTGGTACTCGCACCACAAATGAATTAAAATTCACATTGTGGCGCGACGCCAACCGCTCGACCCTCAGGTTTGCGTTGGCCTTCACTCGCATGTACTCCACAATATCCGCAGACTTGGTTACTCCACCTTTTTTGAACAGAAATTACTCCACTAGTTTGTTTTAATGATTAATACAAAGTTCGAACACTTGGAACAAGTTCCTTCGATCCGGCTGGATCGGTCTTCGGTATTTTTTCAAATACTTAATAAATAAATAAGAACGACGTCTCAAAGCGTCAGGAATTATTGGGAAATATTAACATAAAAAAATAGGGACTTTTTTGTTTTATTTCACTAATGTGTTACTGAATCTTGTGCATAGGAAAAAAAGGCCAGTGATTTTTTATCTCCCTGTATGTGGAACAGCTTTCTGCAACTATTGATTATAAAAAAATAATAAGTGTACACGTACCATGTCATTGTTTCAGGTAACGGAGTGCGAAATATTTCTATCTCTAACAATAAAGTTCTTGGACCCAGACAAACCGCTCTGGCAGAGGGCGTTGGCGTTAGAAGTGTTACACAAGATGAGTATACAGCCAGGTGCGTAATACCATTTTCATCACACTTGCCCGTAAGTAATACAATGTACAGCAAAACTAGGCGGTAATTTTAACCGAGTTCAAAAAAGGAGGTTCTCAATTTGACTGTATTTTTTGGGTGTTTGTGAAACGATTTCGATGATCCAACTAATATAATTATAACATTTTTTAATAAAAAACCGACCTCAACAGTTCTTGAAATTAATAATAATAACGCACACACTCAACATAGACCCGCACTAGGGAAACCCTGTGTCGCGGGTGCCATGGACACACAGAACCACAAATTAAACCCTAACTCACGAGAGAAATAAATGTAGGCCATTCAAATATTTCTCCCGGGAATCGAACCTGGGACCTCAGCGTGGCAGTCCGGCATGGTAACCGTTCGGCCACAGAGGCAGTTAAAATTACATCTACTTGCCAAATTTTATTGAAATCGGTTACCGGAAAGTGCGCGAAAACGGGTTCATCCCCTAATTTGCCACCCTTAGAGGTGGAATATTTTCTTCGAATTTAAATGGGACCAATAATGAGATACCTTCCAACAAAAAAGAATCGTCGAAATCGGCTCATAAATAGCGGAGTAATTGCGTAATATACTGTCGCGAATTATGTCGCGATTTAGTATAAGTTTTGTAATATCAAGCATTAATAAATTTAGTCTGTTATGATACCTAAGAGTAGGGAACTAACACGGCTGTACAGGCATCTGCAGTGCACTGGTTGGTCGGCACTACAGTTGGTAAGTTTGCACAATGTTTATTACTAACGTAGATACAGTATTTGTTACATGGTCTGCAACGCTACAGATCCCCTACCCGTTCGCATAGGCGAAGACGCGGTCGAGCCTACGGGCCAGTTTAAATACTTGGGATCTGTACTTAGCGCGTCCGGAGACATCGACTGCGACGTCAGAGCCCGAATCGCAGCCGCTTGGGCAAAGTGGCGTGAGGTGACTGGTGTCATTTGTGACCCCAAGATAATTAAGTTAAGCTGAAAGGACAGGTCTATAAATCCATCATTAGGCCTGTCCTTTTATATGGCAGTGAAACGTGGCCCGTACTTGAGCGCCATAAGCAGGAGCTGCGTGTCACGGAAATGAAGATGCTGCGCTGGATGTGTGGAGTTTCACGGAAAGACCGTGTCAGAAACTCCCGCATCCGCGGCAGCCTTCACGTCCGTGACATTGCAGATAAACTGCAAGAAAGCCGCCTATGTTGGTACGGCCACATCTTACGGAAACCGGCATGCTACGTGGGAAACAAATGTCTGGCTATGCCACCTCCGCCGGTCCCCGGTAGAAGGGGCAGACCCAAGAAGTGCTGGCTTGACGTCGCCAAGGGTGATATGCGTGCCAATGGTCTCACCACTAAGGATGCCGAAGACCGCGCAAAGTGGAGGAGAAAAAGCAGGAAAGCGGACCCCGGGCTCCGCAGCAACACTGCTGAGGACGCAACCGGGACAACGCGCAGATGAGAGAGAGAGAGAGAGAGAGATACAGTATTTGTTGACTAGACAGCTTGAAGATAGAGTATGACGAATCAGTAACAGAATTAGAATGAGACCGCCACTTGTACTGAAGGTATAAAGGGGCATGAAGCGGTGGCAGAGGAAGGGCTGTAGGGGTGTGTGTGGAGGCCCATCATAGGGATCAGAGAATCCCACTAGTTCAGATCCGGAGGATCGATATGAGGTCAAGGACCTGTTAGGACAATTATACTAGTCCTACGAAGTAGAATGGAGTTAGAAGAAGTGTACAAGAGGAAAGATACTCTATTTAAAGGTTGTTGTGATAGAAAGAATGTCGCATATGTAATTTACATTATGATTGAACCTTAGGCGTGGCGACACACACACAAAAAAAAAAAATACAATCGAATTGAGAACCTCCTCCTTTTTTGGAAATGTCAACAAAAAAAAACATGATTTTATAGTTTTCACCTCAAATTGTCATCACAATTTCAATATTTAATTTAGAACTTCCTTTTTTCAACTCGGCTAAAAACTTGACAAATAGGTGTAATTCCCCAAACTTTTGAGGTCCCGAGGTCGGTTTTTTATCATACGGTCCTAGGGTAGTACTGATTTTTTATTTCTACGCTCCCGCTGTATCACACTAGGGGCGCAGACTGACCGGCCCGTCTCGACCACTGCTGCCGTTTCGCGCCAAATTTGCGCCGTGACCCCAAAAGAGCAGTGGACTTTTTGATATTATTTGCATCTGTGTTTCTTTTCGTAATTGCCTACTTACTCTGGTGACGTTTTTACTCAAAAATATACGTAACTTTAATGACCATTCTGTTGTTCTCTCACTAAGTTACATAAAAACATATTAATTTTCAGATCTTCTGAAAGCATTCTGCTCGTGTTACGATATGAAGCCGCACGCGACAAACATCTTCCAGGACATCGTGAACGCGTTAGGCGCGTACGTGCAAAGCTTGTTCGTCGCCACTCAAGTTAATACGCCTCTCGGTGAGTTCCACTTCATAATCATTAATCATCTTCATTTTAAAAATAAGCTGAATTTCCAAATAGTAATATTTACGACAGAGCATGAGGCTCTTCATTAGGCGTTTAAAATCAAGGTCATATGAAATATATTAAATAAAAAACAAACGACTATAGGAGATATGGTCGTCTTATTTCTCAAACTAATATCTTAAAGCACAAAGTTTTCGAAACGCAAAAAAATTATTGTATATACAAATTTTGCAGGGTGATTCCACATCATATTTCCTTCATATTCACACACTAGCTTTTACCTATTATTAAAGAAAGGGTCTGGGTGTTTGTATCCAATTGTTGTTGTTTCCGATTTCCTTAACATAACTAAGTGCCTTAGTTACTTACATACTTCGGATTCGGAGCCATGTATGTGAAGTTGTCTAATGTTTACTTGTTTATTTATGTCAATATTTATTATTTTACAAATTAATTTCTTAATGACAAAATTATAAATTTAAATTGTGTATTATTTATTATATACACAGCGACGATTTGCTCTTATACTCAGATAATACAAATAATTCTTTAGTTTGAGATCAGGTGAATTGATGTGATTTTCGAGCACATTATTATTATTATAAAAAAAATCTAAATTTATAATTTTGTCATTAAGAAATTAATTTATAAAATAATAAATATAGAAGTAAATAAATTGTGTATTTCATGCATTATGTATATTATATTCAGCATCTGATTGCATCCAAGTTTACAAAACCGCCTCCGGGTTCGATCCCTGGCGACACCATGAAAACCGGTGTGAAAACCACTTGACCATAGTGGTTAAAGTTGGTGCGGTCCGGCTCAAGTAAACTTTTCAAAAATCTGTGAATGCAAAACATTCGTATTAAGAAAAACAAAAGAATGTTTTGAAAACTAATTGACAAATATTTCTGTCATCACAATTCCTACAGGCGGTAACATTACATATTATTCATGATTCCTTCTTGTTCCACACGGCATTCGATCTTTCATCTTTTCATATCAAATATGTTTATCTGTTATTATCAATAAAACTACATAGTATTTTCTTAATTTCGTTGTTTAATTCGTCATTCAGTTATTTGTAAACAATGATCCGATCTCCAAAGATTTGACTGTATACGATGTGTACAATTTATTTTCTATCAGTTTTGAACTTCACATTTAAAGAAGTCACCACATTTATCAATATTGCAACACGTCAAGCTGGTCCGAAAAAGCTTTGGCTCGCACGACGGCTGTTCGGCGACGTCGATACCCGAGCGGCCGCGTCAATGCTCGAACGGCCGCGTCGACGGTAAACCGAAACATGAACAGCTCAAGCCAATTCGGCTTCGATGAGCGTGATGACTCTTGATGCTATGCACATGGCGTATTTTATACGCGCCGTTGATGCACGTAAACACACGTTCACAATTTCATTTCACCCAAAAAATTCAGTAGCGCCGTAAACGCGTGTCATCTGCGCGTATATGCGCCGCAGATAGAGATAGCTTTAATTTTATTTTCACTTGTTAATTTCACTTAGTTTTTTTAATGAAGCAACTATCTAATGTATTAGTAAATTACAGATAGTTATAACACCAGCTTAAGAGCAATGTTTAATTATTAATTGTAAAGAAGAGCGATGTTTCCTAACACAGGCCCTATCGAGCTTAAAAGGAAACATCAGCCCCTGAATTATGCCATGTACAGTGAAGTAATAAAATATTTTTATTTTATTTATTATCTAAGTGTAAACTTCTGTATATAAGCTTACAACGCGATGTTTGCGCGCGTTTGAATCTATTCAAACTCGCGTAAAACGCGGTACAGATGACCTTCGAACGCGCTTCTCGCGCGCGTCTGTATCGCGTTAGAATAGATACAAACGCAACAATCTGCGTTTTGAACCTATCCGGCACAGTAAATGCGCGATCGGGAAACGCGCGTCTTCGGCGCGTATTAAATACGCCATGTGCATAGGCTCTAAAATATACTAGGATAATCAATATTAATATTCTCAAGGTCGGGTTCGATCGTGACGTCATCGTGACTGGACTCCCATTTGAACGGCTCAGGGTCCTCCTGGTACTCGTACTCCTCAGTTGTAGTCTCCTTACCTTTCGCAACCTTTCGTCTAAAGCTCATATCTGCGTACGATTCACGAACTACTGCTGATCCTGTGGGCAAGTTATTCAGAATAGTAAGACTGACCCGCGGATTTTTCTCCACCTAGACAGTGCCAATTTCAAGGCTGGTACAATTGGCATTACATTAAGTAAACAGCAAACTTGTACGCTGTGTAAATCATGTAAAGTTTTTTTTTATAACATCAAGTAGCGGGACGAACAAGTCGTGCACCTGGTGGTAAGATACACGCCTGTCCATAACAGTTACAGTGCCACTCAGAGCTTTAAATTGCAAAGTTCTGAGGGGCACTACCACTGCGCCCGTCACCCAGAGACATAAGTTGATAAGCCACATGTGCCTGTAATTTCACCAGCAGCTGCGCTGGGCGCTGGTGAATGCCCCTTAGATCTTTGCGGTTTAAAGCTGTAAGTGGCATTGCAACAACAACAAATATGCGTGTCTGGATGATCTAGATGGCGCTAATCTAAATGGCCTGGAAGTATGTAGCTGTGGATAGCAATTAATTCTTCTTTAATATGACATATAAAGTTATTTTTCTTTTAATATTATTCAAATATCTTAAGCTAAAATAATTTTCTAAACTTTGACGAATATGCGTGTCAATAGATGCTATTATGTGTCACAAACTAATTTATAAATTAACGCTTGCCAATATGGGTAGACGGCTCTAATCGTAAACAAAAGGAAAAAATAGCCGACACTATCCATAAAAATCTGTGTAATAAACGCCGTCTAGTTCATTTGTTTGTTATCACTAGAAATTAGGTTAAGTGCGCGTTCCCATTATGTTGTGACGACAGATAGTCGTGCAGTTTAAAGTGTCGTGGCTTGTTTGTATATTTAAACGAAATTGTTCACATATAGTAAAACAAGATTAACTGTCGTTCATGACTTTTTTGACGTTACGACGACAGATTGTCGTGTTAACGGGAAGAGCTAAAACGACAGCCGTCAGACGATAACTAAAGCGTCACGATAAAAATGTGACGACAGATAATTGTAGCTTCAAACGATTCTGTCGTGCAAACGACAAAGCCGCTGCCGTGAACCGTAAAATTGTCGTCACGATCTAGTGGGAATAGTTAGACACGACAGTCGTTCAACGATAAAATAAACGTCCACGACAGATAGTCGTGATATGGGAACGGGCTAGACACGACAGTCGTCCAACGATAATTAACAACCCAGGCAACCAATGAAGGGAAAATCGAAAAAGAAACTCGTATCTGGAGCTGCGTCGTCAGTACCACCGAGACGAGTTGATTAGTGCGACGAGGACGGCTTTCGGAAGGTGGAAAAGAAAAAGAAGAACACCAGCCGAAACCTTAGTGGCACCGCCCTGACTGGCCCGAATCATTTATTGCGTCCAGCGGTACCGACGACGTTGTTATACGTGTCACGTCTTCATTACTCCACCAAGTCTGCGGATATTGTGGAGTACATGCGAGTGAAGGCCAACGCAAACCTGAGGGTCGAGCGGTTGGAGTCGCGCCACAATGTGAATTTTAATTCATTTGTGGTGCGAGTACCAACTCAACACCTGTCGACCTTCATGAGAGAAGACTTTTGGCCGAAGGGTGTCATGTACCGGCGTTTCCGAGGACGGCTACCGGACACCCACGTTGCGTCACACGTCGAAGTACATACGTGTAAATAAATATTGTTTTATTATATTATTGTTATATTATATGTATGTTAGTCTGTAAGGTATGTATCTATGGGTCCTAGTTGCCTGAAATAATATATAAATAAATAAATAAAATGTTACGACATAATGAGGAATGAGGAAGGACCGCGCTCTAAGGTTGATAAATTGCTACTTGTCAATGTGAAACAAATTAGTTACAATAATTTGTAATTTTTTCATTGAAAAAAAAAACGATTTTTTTCTATTTTCATGGAATCTCCTCATCGGACTCTGACTTCTTGGTGACAGTGGGACTGTTACGGACTCCTGTGTACATTTTGTATTTTGTTTTCTGGTTGTCACGATGACGGTAATTTATTGATAACATGTATTGTATCAAGTCGACTTTTATTTGCAGAAATAAATTAGTAATTTGTGATAACCGAAACGAAACTGGAACAGCATCAGGGACCACCTCGAGAGTAGACCCTTACAAACAAAAAAGGATTTTCATAATCGGTACACAATTGATGGAGAAAGTAGTGAATACACGGACATGCCCATAAAATTTGAGGATTTCCTTCGATCCTTTCTTCGATTCGATTCCTCCTTCATCGTGTCCTCTCATCGGATTCTGACTTGGCTACAATGGGACCACCCACTAGGGTGCACCCTTTCAACCAATCGAATTTTCAAAATCGGTCCACAATTGACGGAGATTTCTGAAAACATACGTACAGCCGAACGCATGACCTCCTTTTTTTTGAAGTCGGTTAAAAATGGCTATTTGGTACTCGTCGCGACATCTGGTGTACCTATAAGTACTAAATACCCGATTACGCTGTCTTGTATAGCGATTAGCCTTGGGTCATTGATCCATGACTATCACCAATCTGCTATTTGAATGAGGTCTCGGTAGGGGGACAAAAACATACCATTGTCGTTTTGAACTGGTTCAAGTTCGGTGTCAGTATCGCTCAATTGTGTAGCACACCTCTGTTGTTTTATTACGACGCTGTACACTTCGTCCAATGGTCGACATCGGGACATACAGCGACGGTACGATTTGAACCGGTTCGTGCGTTTGCAATATGGACACCCCAGTCGTTCACTGTGAACAAAAACTTGACTCTATAGTCTGTCTGTTTTCAAGACGGAGCAAAATGACATTTGTAAGGTTGCCAGTTTTTATAATATTTTAAATAGTTCTGTAGTTGTTATCGATAGT